ATTTTTTCTGGAACTTTTATTAGTTTTAAGGTTGACACAGACTATCTTAATTTGAAAAATATGTCTTTGGCCTCCCCTCCACTTTTCTCTGCCTTCTTCCCGCCTCCTTCGAGACCCTCTTTCTTGATTGACATCTGATCAAAGTCATCCAGGCCTATCCACTTCTGCATTCCCCCCCCCCCTTCCCATTCCATTGTCCTTAACACCCAGCTAGAGATTAGCAAATAGAATCAATATTCATTTATATTCATTAATATTCAGTATTGGGTGTGGTTGGTGGTCCTAATCTTCAACACCCCAGGGGAGTTGTGTTATGAAAAAAAAAACCCCACAACAAACCCACGAGAAAACCTCATTACCCAAACACACCTGTAACTCACAGAAGTGGAGGCTATGGAATCAAGGAGCCACATAACATTCAGGCATTGTGAAGAAGGATTTTAGGTGAGGCCAAGTTCGGAGAGGTGTCCTCTGTGGCCAGTGGTGTGAAGACATTCCCGCTTAGCAATTTCCTCCCCTCTCCTAAGTCCCTTTGTTCTCTAAAAGCTTCAAGGGTTTCTCCAGAAGGATCCACCGCATCTGCAGTGGAAGGGTGTGCCCATCAATATGCATTTTTTCAGTTGGGGGTTTATGATTTAGAGACTGCTTGGATTTTGTAATTTCCTGCAGTGCCAAGTGGCCTGCCTGGGGTACATGCCCAGGAAATATTGCTGAGTCACTGGCTTTGATCAGGAGCGTGGTCTTGGGCTGGCGTCTCAGTCTTTAAGATCCTGTGTCTGAGCTATTAAACTACTTTATTGATTGTCTTTAGGCCAATAGACCTGGCCATTAGTTTCCTGACTAATTTCGAATTTAAGTAGTTTTGCTGGCAAGATAGACATCTCTCTGTACTTGCTATTGATTTTGAGGTTTGTAGGCTCTCCCTGCACCATTGGCAGTAGGCTCGGGCACAACACCCTGCCCTGCGCCTTTGTTTTCCCTCTTGGCTTGTGCAGGCTCTGGGCCCACTGAGGCATTTTTCATTAATTGAGGATGGGTGTGTCACAAAGGAGTCCCGGGCTCTGCGGGGCTGCTTTCAACATCACTGGTTCCACAGTACTTACTAACCACTGCTCTGTTCTGTTCACAGTTATAGGCATTGGAGACACAGCAGTGAACCGAACAGACAGAAAAATAGACAAAGTAAGTGCATTGTACAGGCAGTAACTGGATTTTGAATGTTCCGTATCCCCACATCAGTTAGTTTCCAAGTTGACTGGGGCTCCTTGCCCCTTTGTTCCAGCTGCTCCACAGATCTGAGCATCACATTTAACCTCAGGGAAACTGTTCTGAAAGTTGTTGTGGTTTAACCTGTCTCTTGGATTTGATTGTGAGTCTGATAGAATTGAAATGTTCTGATAGAAATAGAATGCTTTTTTTAAAATATGGGAATCCACCCTCATTTTCCCTGGTGCCACACCCTATTCTAGTTTTAGGCTAACTCAGAGGAAATTCCAGTCCTTAAAAAAAAAATTATTTCCGCCCATTCTCTGTCTGGTTTATTTGTCCTTCTCCTGTTGCCAGAGGCAGTCCCCATCTCCGTTGTTGGGGAGCAGGTCAGCAGGAGGAGACAGCAGATACCCAGGCTTCAGAGATTACTTCTGGATCTCCTTTTCAGGGTACAACCTGAAGCTTTTCAACCACCTGAGCTCCATCTTGTCAGAGGTCAATAAGCATCCACATAGCCGAATCCCAGGCTGCTGTGGGAAGTCCTGACTTCCAGGAGTGGCGGTGACCGGGATCCCTGCCCTTTGTCTCCTTGCCACACCCAGTCTACACCCTCACAGCGCACGGGAAATCTGAGGCCCGAGGCCTCTCCAGATCTTTTCTCCTTTCCACCTCCTCCCTTTCCTTTCCTGCCATAGGAGATGTGGGTTCCATGTCCACGTGGACCAGTGGACAGAGCTAGGAGAGGTGGGGTGCCGAGCTGGGCTGGGAATGGGCTGCATTTTATGAGGAGAAAGAAGTTGCTAGGCTTTGGCAAAGATTTTCATGGAAGCTGGGAATTGAAGCCTCCAGCTCTGAATGAGTGGAACTGGAAACCCATTGGAGATAGTCTGTGGGAGGCAAAGAAAATTGAGGAGGGTGGGTACATTGGAAAAGAAGAGGGAAGAAAAAAAAGACAGAATAAGGAAAGACCCGGTGTGTGTAAATCCTCCAAAAATGTGGCTGAACGCCTAGTGTGTGCTGGGCTAGGCACTGTGCTCAGACCCATGAGGAAATGCATGAGTAAGACAGAAACCCTGTGGGCGGATGGAATGGAAGCTCGCCTATAGACACTCGGCTCTGAAATTTCAGACACACTGGAGAGCCACAGGCCAGAGCAGGAAGAGGTGGAGGAGAAAAGGTAACAGTATTTTTCTGTGTTCTGAGGTCTTATGAGGATGTTAGCGGATCACGATTGAGAGAGCACAGTGGAAGGAACTTGGAGGACCTGGGCCTAGAGCAGTGGTTCTCAACCTTGGCTGCACATTAGAATCACCTGGGAATCTTTTTAAAATCCTGATTTCTGGGCCTCATCCTCTGGAAAATTCTGTTTCTTTGTTACTAATGTTGTGGCCTCACTCCATATCAAAGAAACAGAATTTCCGGAGGATGAGGCCCAGAAATCAGGATTTTAAAAAGATTCCCAGGTGATTCTAATGTGCAGCCAAAGTTGAGAACCACTGGCCTAGAGGTAGCAGGACAACGCTAAGTGTGTTTGGAGAACGATACCATTGGCATTTGATTTCAATGCTGGTGTGTGTGCATGTCTGCGTATGTATGTGTGTGCGTGTGTGTGTGTGTGCACGCACTCTCGTGTATGCTTGGGTGTAAGAGACATTTATGAATCAGTCGGAAAGTCCAGAGTGCGGGAGATCTCGAAGGCTGAGTTTAGACTTTCTTTCTGTTGGCAGCAGGCCCCGCTGGAAATACAACATGCAGGCCATAAAACACTGACATGGAGCGGTCGTTGTGACGGCCTTGATTTCTGAGCTCTGAGGGTGCTTCCTGCCAACTGACCTCATTCTTCCTGCAGGTCTCTTTCCACCCACTCCGTCCCTTATCAGGAGGCTGAGTAGGAGAGGCTCTGCGAGCAGGAGGTTGCAACCTGCCTGTAGGTAGCAAACAAATACTGACTCAGATCCAGCAACGAAAGGGATGAGCAGGCGCAAGTGGTGCCCTGTCCTTCCCGCCCAGTACTATCAAGGCTGGAGGGCCGAATTCCAGGATGTCTGGAGAATGACTTGGCCCTGTGACTCAGGCTTAATCAAGACCATAAAACCAAGGAGAAAAGTGTGTGCTTTCAGGAAGTTTCTGTTAAATAAAAATGCTTGGGGGTGGGGTGGAGAGTGGAGTACAGCGGGCACTCCCTGCCCACCCCGAAGCCCAAACCTCCACCCCGCCCCCCGCCACACACACACACTCCCCACCCCCGTACATTTTTTTGGTTTAGAAATCCTCTTTTGTGTCATCCAGGCCCTGATTGATTCAGCATGGTTGCTAGGGCTGTGTTTTGTGGTTACCCATCAACACTCCACTGTGAAACTATAAAGTGGGTGTGTCAGCGAAACTGTTGGATGGTTGTCAGGTTCGCTCTGCAGACCAGTCCTGTTGCAACATGTTTTTGTTTGTTTGTTTGTTTGTTTGTTTGTGGGAATTCATATTTGGTCTTTCTGGAGCTGACTCTTAATTCATTTCCGTATAACTTGTTTTTACTATCTCAAGTGTTTACTTTTAGGCTTACTCTTTTTTTGTTTGTTTCCAGTTGTTTGCAAACTGTTACTTTTCTTTTGTGGGGAGAAGGTAAAGCCGTTTCATTGTAACTGTTTTTTTGTTCTAACTCTGTTTGAAGTGAAACAATAATGTACAAAACAATCTGTCTAAAAAAGGACAGACCCTTTAAATTATCTTTAAGCTAGACCTCATGCTATCTGTAAATCATTTGGTTTTCGACAGTGTTTCATTAATGTCTAGCTTTTCACTCCAGTAAGAGCTACTTTCGTCAGGCAGTTAACAGTCTCCTTTATTAACATTTTCAAGGTAGAGGAGTCCGCTCTGTTCCCTGCATTAGGGTGGAGTTGAGTGAGTCTGTTCTTACCCCAGTGGCGAATTATTTCAAACCAGTTTGAAGCAGGTGTGGCTTTAAGTCTATTTTCTTAAAGGAAAAACTTTCCCTGATAAAGGTGCTAATGATCTTGTCTGGTAGCCCAGCCCTTATCTGGGAATGGAAGGTACTGGTATGTAGAGATTCTCACCAACAGATTGGATTTGCTGATTTTTTTTCTTTTTTGCAAGTCGAAACCAGTTGGGGATGCGGGTGCGGCGGAGTGCTGGGAGGAGAGCTGCAGACTGCCCTGTGGAGCCGGGTGCAGACAGGCGGGGTTGTGCTGGTGAATTTCACTGTGCTCAGGAGTTGGTGGGAACAGAGTTGCCTCCTGGCACATAGACTTGATCTTATTCTCATGTAGAACAACAGGTGCACTAAGACAGAGCTATTGTTCTCAGTAAGAAAATTCAGCCTCCAGAGCAAGTGCTGCGAACAGAGACTATGCGTATTGGGAACGAGTCACGTTAGCTTTCTGGCCATCCAGTTTTCCCAGGCTTCCATGTGTACCATTCAGAAATGTGTATTTAGGGCCCCGAGAGGACCCACAATAGACATGGCTGGATTAAGCCTGTCTTCTTGTTCTTCTGACACCCAGGGACATTCCCTTCCACCTGCCAGGCTCTCCCCATGTTTCTCCAGCTCAAATCTTTCACTACCTCACCCTTTAGGCCAGCAGTTCTCAACCTGGGGGTCGCGACCCCTTTGACGGTCGAACGACCCTTTCACAGGGGTCGCCTAAGACCATCCTGCATATCAGATATTTACATTACCATTCATAACAGTAGTAACATTACAGTTATGAAGTAGCAACGAAAATAATTTTATGGTTGGGTCACAGTGATGGCGAACCTATGACACGCATGTCAGAGGTGACACGCAAACTCATTTTTCTGGTTGGCTTTTTCTTTGTTAAATGGCATTTAATATATAAAATAAATATCAAAAATATGTCTTTGTTTGACTATGGTTGCAAATATCAAAAAATTATTATATGTGACACGGCACCAGAGTTGAGTTAGGGCTTTTCAAAATGCTGACACGCCGAGCTCAAAAGGCTCGCCATCACTGCCTTGGAACGAAGAACTGCTGTGGTGAAGTTGAAAGGGCAAAGACCTAAGAGTCAGAGAGCCTGGGTTCGGCCCTGTCTCCCCGCTCATCAGCCAGGTGACCTGGCTAATCTAATCTCTTAGGTGTCTCACTGGGGCGAGGAGGGTAGAGAGCAGACGGCCCTGGCCCTGCAGGGTGGGGTCTGCATTTCATCGTTGGCTGTGTGTCTCTCAGCCTGAATGCCGTGCGGGCGAGTGTGCACTCGTTAGGTCTCTGTTCGTAGATTATTTGAATGTCGCCCGTGTGTGTGACCTACAGTAACACTGCCAAGACTGTCTTTTCCGCTTTCAAGAGCAGCAGCACACTGACACGGCCTCATTAATCACCTGTACTAGACTAAGCTAATGTTTTAACAAACACGAGTGGGAAAGCCAACTCTTTCTGCTAGCGACCAATCAATCATCCACGGAATGACTTGGCTTTGCCAGGGGAATTGGATGCAATAAAGAAACAGGGGCCATAGTTTATTTCTATGGTGAAGATAAAGTTTGCCATGAAGCTTGCAGGAAATAGGAAATAGTTACACAGATACAAAAGACATGTATGTAATAGCCAGTTTCATGGACATTTCTTTGTGGTTATTGACATACTTGCTTTTTCTGCAGAATGATTATAAATAATATACATGCATATGATTAATTATGCAAAATAGCAGCTCACTGTTTCAAAACATTTATTTAGCACCTAATGTGTGGGGAAACTGAGACTCTAGGGGAGATGAGGTAAAGCATATTGCCTGCTGCACTGAATCGGACTTCAGCATTTGCCGTTTGAATACTTGGTACATGGCAGGAACGCAGGACACTGTGGTCAGTGGATGACCCTAGCGGCATCAGTAAGTGCTCCTGGCACTGAAAGGAGGGAGAGAGCACTGTGGCATGGGGGCTGCAGCTGCCCCATTAGAGCAGAGCAGAGGCCAGAGCAGTGGCGGCCTGAGGAATGGGCAGGCTCTCTAACTAGAGCAGCTGAGGGTAAGGCGTTGGGGGCACAGGCATCGAGGCGCCGTGGGTTAAAGGAGCACAGTGTGTCTGCTGAGAAGGAAGTCCACTTTTGCTGGGGAGTGGACAGAGGGCACTGAGGCTGGGTTCCCACACCAATCTTTTTTTTTTCATTTTAGGTTTTTAATGAGAGTTGTATATACTATGACTTTATTCCTGCATCTTCTCAATTTTTTTCCCCCTTGTATTTGCCCTTTTCTTTCTTACTTGGTGAGATTTGGTTTTACATCCAAGGACCTTTTTGCGGCCTTTGTCCAGCTTCAGTCTGGTGATGACCACCTCACTGGGTGAACGCCCACATGCGCAGTTGCACCCTTAGCTTCCCCCTGCGGCACTTGTTCAGTGTCAGTGACGTATTTCTTCCTGCGTAAACCTGCGCTACTTTGCCAATTTGCTGCCCTCTGTCATGTCCTCGGACAACCTGAACGTCATCATCCTTTAGGATGGGCCTGTACTTCTCAGCTCTTGGGAAAGAGAAGATGTAATCTTCTCACTGGCACTGCTACGGTGGCCGCAAAAGGGACCCATATGAATCTTTGAGGGCTAAACTGAGCCAGAGTGAGAGGCCGCCACTGAAGGATGGGTTTTGAACACGATCAACTAGAGGACCTGAATGGGTAGGGGCACATAGGGCTGATGGGATGGAAGGGCAGCACAACTTGTGCATAGTAAAACAGGAAGGAAGTTTGTGGGGCTTTTAAACATCCCTGTTTTCTGTCTCTCCTCGTGTGTCGTGGCTGTGGGAGGAGAGTGGACCTGAGTGGAGAGTGTATACCAGCCTGTCTTTGATTTGTACAGTCCTGAGGGGGCCCCATGCAATACATGGTTGAGCAGCTGCCTGCAAAGCCAGGGCTCCGTAACAATGCACTGTGCCTCTGTGGTGGAGATTTCTGAAACAGTAGAGCCAACGGGAGGTGCCTGGTTTAATGAAGAAATGGGATTTAGTCCCCACCTCCCTGTAAGCAGAAGCAGCTGTTTGCATCTCTGACTTAATGGTTCCCGGTGTGTTTGGCATTTTTATTTCTTAGGTGTATACAGTGGGGACTGGACTTCTGCAAGGCCGGTGGCAGGAGCCGACCCGTCGCTGTAGACCTAGTCCGCTTCTGGGGGAGCCCCAGGGGGGCTAGCCAAGGCTGGCCACGAGCTGCAGTGTCCTGGGGGTTTCTCTCTGCTTTGGTGATTCTCAGGCGGAAGGATACTGATGAGACTCTCTGGAACATTTCTTGGCCCAAGTTGGAATTGGAGATTTCTGGAGCAGACTCAAACTCGTTTGTCTTACGAGGAATCTCAAACTTAGTCTTTAACTGACCCAGCCACTCCAAAGGTTTTGGGCACTGCAGGACCCTCTAGACCAGTGGTCTGCAAACTGCGGCTCGGCAAACTGCGGCTCACGAGCCACATGTGGCTCTTTGGCCCCTTGAGTGTGACTCGTCCACAAAATACCACGTGCGGACGCGCACGTACAGTGTGACTGAAACACGTACAGTGCGATTGAAACTTTGTGGCCCGTGCGCAGAAGTCGGTATTTTGTGGAAGAGCCACACTCAAGGGGCCAAAGAGCCGCATGTGGCTCGCGAGCTGCAGTTTGCCGACCACTGCTCTAGACCAGTGTTATCCAGTAGAAATAGAGTGTGGGCATATGCTAGTGTAAATTTCTCGGTAGACACAGTAAAGAAAAAGTAAACGAAATAGGTAAAATGGCCTGTCTAATTGTCGCTCCGCGGTTGAGTGTTGACCTATGAACCAGGAGGTCACTGTTCCATTCCTGGCCAGGGCACATGCTCGGGTTGTGGGCTCAATCCCCAGTAGGGGACATGCAGGAGGCAGCTGATCAATGATTTCTACCTTTTGTGTTTCTAGCTCTCTCCCTCTCTTTTCTTCTCTGAAATCCATAAAAATATATTTTAAAAAAGAAATAGGTAAAATGGAATTTAAATCGTTTTCTTTAACCCAGTATACCCACCACTTCATAACTATAATATCTAATCAATGTAAATTATTGAGAGATTGTTACATTCTTTTTCTCGTACCACGTCTTTTTCCCGAAGCTGGTGTGCCCTCGACGTTTACAGCACCTCTCCCTTTGCACTGGACACTTGCCAAGTGCTTGGCAGCCATAGGTGCCTGGTGGCTGCTGGTTGTAAAGTCCACCTACAGAGCAAGACCTTTTGAGAAGAAGAAGAAAAAAGAGACTTTCTTTTTCAGGGCAGTGTAAGGTTCCCAGAAAAACTGAGTGGAAAGTCAGAGCTCCCATATATTCCCAGCCTCACACATGCGCAACCTCCCCACTACCAACAGCCCCGCCTGAGGGGTATGTTGGCTACCGCTGATGAGCCTGCACTGACACATCACTACCGGTCACAGTCCAGAGTTCACCTGAGGGCTCATTCTTGGTGCTACACATTCGATGGGTGTGGACAGAAGTATGATGATGTGTACCCACCATTCCCGTGACACACACAATAGATGTATGGCCCTAAAATCCTCTTTGCTCTGCCTATACATCCCTCCTTCCTCCCCCTCTAATCCCTGACTGCTGCTGATCCTTTTATTGTCTCCATAGTGTTGCTTTTTCCAAAATGTCATCGAGTTGGAATCATGTCATATGTAGCCTTTTCAGATTGGTTTCTCTTGCTTACTAATGTACATTTAAGGTTCCTCCATGCCTGTTCCTAGCTTGATAGCTCCTTTTTTTTCAGCCCTGAATATTACTCATTGTCTGCATGTGCCACAGTTTATTTATAGAGGAAGACTTTTTGCAAATCAGGATTATACCCCAGCTCTGGGATATTTGGGGGGTGGGTGTCTGAGAGTTATGGGAGTGGGAGGGATTAGAATAGCTGTGCTTTTCTTTTTTTGCTGTGCTTAAACGTTGTCTGTGAGATTCAGAAGAGAGAGGAGTGGTCTAGCAGTGAGATTGGGATGAAAACCTTGCAGAAGCCCAGCCAGCGTGGCTCAGTGGTTGAGCGTCCACCTATGAACCAGAAGGTCACGGTTCGATTCCAGGTCAGGGCATAGGCCTGGGTTTCGGGCTTGATCCCCAGTGTGGGGCCTGTAGGAAGTAGCTTATCAATGATTCTCTCTCATCATTGGTGTTTTTATCTCTTTCTCCCTCTTCCGTCCTCTCTGGAATCAATTAAAAAATATTTTTTTAAAAAGAAAACCTTGCAGAAATATACCCATAACCGCAAATAATGGAGAATCCCCTCCTCTCACATTCCCTTGCCTCCACCCCACAGGGAGCCTGGAATTGGCTTAGTTCAAAGCCTTCTGATAAGTTAGCAAGTGTCTATGTCAGTACTCCCTCAAGCCAGTTTTATGAAAATGTTTAGACTAAGCAAACTGTTGAAAGAGAATAGAAAGCTGAATTTGCATGGACACAATTTCCTTGGTCAAAGAATATTAAGAAGAAAAAAAAAATACCAGAGCAGGAGATGCTGCAATCCAAATGTCATTCCCACTATTTCGGATGCAGCTCTGCTCTATTTCCTTTATTTGGGGGATGCTGCTGCCTTGGCTCAGTTGAGATAAATTTAATGCCCGCCAAGCACTTTTTATTGGCAGGGGTTGGCGTATCGATTCCGAGAATTGTGTGATTGCAAAGCTGGAAAGCAATCCATCAGACGATAGTGGCATAGCCCCATTAAATGTATTAACTGGAAGATGACTTCATTTCAGCCATTTTGAATGTTAAATGCAAGGATCAGTCTTTTATGGAATGAGATAATGCCAGAAAATCTGCCCACTGTCTTTCTCATTAGCAGTTTGATATCTCCTAAGCATCGGTGAGCTAAGAAAGTCATTAGGGATCGTAGTAAAGGCTGCCATTTAGGAGGGAGTCAGCCTAGAAATGCTACTGATTTCAGTCCACACCCGTAGTTTCCAGGTCCCTTTCAGTAGGTCAAATTACTGGTGAGAAATAGCAGAAGTTGTGGCTGGTTTGACAAGCTTATCACTTTGTGCGAGAGGTGGGAGGCTCAGTGTTATCCTGTTGGAACAGGTTGCATTAGCCTAGGGGGACATTGTGGTCTCGTGTTCACAAATCCGTCTCCCCAGGGTCTGTTCACACAGGGCAAGGGGGGGACTGGCCAACTCAGCAGCCCATCCCAAACCTCAGCAAATCTTCGCCAAGCGTTAATTTTCCCAATCATGAGATGGAAATTGCATATATTGGTAAAAATTACTCTAATATCCTCAGATGAAATGGTCCGAGAAGTGGAGATTAGTGTAATGAATCGCTGTGCTTCGGGGAAAGGAAAGCCTCTCTCCTAAAGACTTCTTGTATTTTTTTTTCCAGCTTCTTTCAAAATGTCTACCGTTCACGAAATTCTGTGCAAGCTCAGCTTGGAGGGTGAGGTAAGTATATCATTTTCACTTGGTGTCATTTTTGCAAATAGTACATCTCTCTGGATAATACTATTCCCTTTTCTTGTGCATCTAAGAAAATGGGACAAAATTTAGACAGTCACTCCCCCTCCTGGTTCTCCGTTCTCCCCCAATCCATTGGTTGCTTCCCCAGTGAGGGAAACAGTCAATCGATGTGTCTCTCTCACATCAATGCGCCTCTCTCTCTCTCTCTCTCTCTCTCTCTCTCTCTCTCTCTCTCTCCCTAGCCCTTCCTTCTACTCTTTCTAAAAATCACTGGAAAAAATATCCTCGGGTGAGGATTAACAACAACAAAAACGATCCTGAGGGTTCGGGACTTGTAAGTGTCCAGGAAGTTATTCCACACAAGAACTTACTTCTTTTAAAAAAAATTATTTTAGTACCTGGGAAAGCTTTTCTCCTAAAAAGCTAGGATGTTTGTTCTTTTTTTTTTTTTAAATTAAATAATGAACCTACTGTGATTCATCATGTTTCCTTTTTTGCTTTGGCTATCACGGGGCTCAGAATTACTTTTAATTGTCTTTCCCAGGAAATATGTGAACCTATAATTCTGGTGCATTTGCTTCTCTGTTTTATATTAAAATTTGTCACACTACATGTGAGGTTATATCATTGAAAACACTTTTAGGATCAAGTAGAATATGAATTATGAAAATGTAATGTATCTAAGAACATCATACATCTTCTTTTAAAAAAATACATATTTTATTGATTTTTTACAGAGAGGAAGGGAGAGGGATAGAGAGTTAGAAACATCGATGAGAGAGACATCGATCAGCTGCCTCCTGCACACTCTCTACTGAGGATGTGCCCGCAACCAAGGTACATGCCCTTGACCAGAATCGATCCTGGGACCCTTGAGTCCACAGGCTGACAGTCTATCCACTGAGCCAAACCAGCTAGGGCCATCTTACACCTTTTAGGTTATCTTGACTGAAATGGCTTTTACAAAAACTCAGCAGTGAGTGACACCGGCTGTAGGCATGTCTTGGGAGAATTTTCATGATATGCTTGCAATTAAATTAAAGTACCAAGAAGCGCTTGCTGTGGGGTCGACCACAGCTTGGAGCATGTGGGTACAGAACCCTCTATTGTCTGTGGTGCTTGACATCAAAATGTTGAGATGGACGGTGTCCATGCAAGCACAGGTGTTACGGACTTCTAACCTTCCCTATATGGACTTCTAACCTTCCCTTTTGGAACTGGTGCCCACTGCTGTTGGCAACAGGGCAAGCTGTGCGTTGAGGTCCAGGCAGTCCAGGAGCTGAGTGATTTCTTTCCTTAATGGACCCGATCATTATATCGTCTTTAGAATCAGGCTTCCTGACGGCTTTTCGAGCAGCCTCTGAGGTCGCTGCACTCCAGTGTGATGCGTTTCTCCGTCTAGGGAGATGGGCCTGCAATAGAAAATGCCATTTTTTCTCTAGCATTTTGAGGGAGGATCACTTTTGCCTCAATAATTTGATTTTCAGATGAGTGGATTTACAGGTAACAGGTTTAGTTATCTATTTAATTTTGTTTCCATGGATACTATAAAATTATGCCAAATGTTGCCCTTCTTGTGTTTGGGAGTAGGATGAGAGAGCACTTTGTAACAGAAGCCACACGTGATGTAGCTCAGTGACCAGACCACCTGCTTTGTACATCATGGATGGCACTGCCATCACACAGGGAGATGTTTTTCCTGAGGTTTCCACCCACACTCTGCAGCCACCACGGCAGAGAGAGCTTTTCAAAAGAGCACGTTGTTCTTGCCTTCCCTGAGTGTGTGCTCGGTTCCCATTGAGTCCATCTTACTGGACAGTTTAAGGCGTGAAATGAGGCGGAAAACGCCTGGGTAGCTCATTGTGTTCCTGAGTTATACATGTGAACTGGACTTCCTGCTTGGCCAGGAGAGTGACAAGCGTTTTGTCCAATTTGTGGGACGTTTTGTCCAATCCTGAACCTAGATTTCTGGCTTGTCCTGGGACACACATTCAAGAGGATGGACTCTTAGTTGCTTCCCTGTATAAGCTCCCTGCTAACACAACCAAGTGGTGGGAGAGGGAGCTGGTGCCCATAACGTAATGTCTGTGGGTGGAGAGGTCAGTCGGGGCGCCTTAGTCTATGCCTCTTTCCAGGAACCGAGCCAACACAGAGTCGCATATTATGATGGGTTTTATGTACTGGGGGAGGCGGGGGTGGTTCAGGATGGGGAACCCTGGCACTGAAAGTGGGACAGTTGTGGGTGGCTGTGCCGGCCATCAGCCAACCAAAACCACATTGTCCGTCCTCTTGTCTGTCCTTTGTGCTGGGGGAAGGAGCAGGGAGGAGGAGAGATGCAGGAGCTTCAAGGGGAGGCGAGCTGACCCTGTGGGAAGGAGCAGGTTGTTGCCCTCACCTCGGTCTCAGGTTGGGTGGGGTTGGTCCATCCCATCAGGAAGGCTGATGGGCTTTAAAAAACATTGTGACCATACCCTCTTCCTTTGAAATGTTTTTCAATGTCCATTACCCCACATAGCTCAGTGATTGTCATTGACCTATGAACCAGGAGGTCACGGTTCGATTCCTGGTCAGGGCACATGCCCAGGTTTTGGGCTCGATCCCCAGTAGGGGTCTTGCAGGAGGCAGCTGATCAATGATTCTCATCATTGATGTTTCTCTCTCTCTCTCTCTCTCTCTCTCTCTCTTTCTCTCTCCCTCTGTCTCCCCCCTTTCCTTTCCTCTCTCCCTGAAATCAATAAAAATAAAATTTTAAAAAAGATGGCTGTTTTAAAAAAAGGCAATAAGGAAAAAAAATGCTAGTTAGAGTGGTAGGCAGGGGAAGATAGTGATAATACAGCAGAGGGAGGGGACAGAGAGGAGAGGGAAGAGCAGGAGGAACTGGGCCCACATGAAGGAGGATGTAGCCACGTGGCCTGACCACCTTGGTGTCACAGCGGTGGCCCAAGTGGAGGGAGCTTCCTCACTTTAAGAGGCAAGCAGGCCGGCGTTTTGCATTTGCTTTTAAACGCATCATGAGCTCAGCCAACAGGCCCAAGTGGAAATTCGTGAGCCTGTCACAAAAACTTGGCAGAACACACTTGCTATTCAGGCATTTTCACATTCTCCGTTTGTTTTGAATTGTTGCCAGCCTAGTGTGAATGCTCTTTCAAACCTCCCCAAATCCACAGGTACTTTCGAATGCCCAGCTTTGTGTTGCCTGCTTTTGAGCATGCACTAAAGCAGGGGTCCTCAAACTTTTTAAACAGGGGGCCAGTTCGCTGTCCCTCAGACTGTTGGAGGGCCGGACTATAGTTTAAAAAAAAACTATGAACAAATTCCTATGCACACTGCGCATATCTTATTTTGAAGTAAAAAAAAAACACCATGGGAACAAATACAATATTTGTATTTGCATTTGGCCCGTGGGCTGAAGTTTGAGGACCCCTGCACTAAAGTAAGAAAAGTGGACATATAGACAGCACATTGTAAACTCACCGGGCCTTTGAGGAAGAATTCTCACAGGAAACAGTGCAGTTCCTTATCTTAATTTAATGGCTTGTTCATACTTAAGTGGTTCTCTAGTCTAAGAATGATTGGAATTGTTAAAAGAAACAATTGGAAAAATAAATCTATTGTAGAAATCGATGTTTCAACGAGAGGATCTTCAGTGTGCATGATGTGGTTGCCTGTTGTCTTTTGCCCTTAGCACTCCACACCCGTGAGTGCGTACGGGTCGGTCAAAGCCTACCCCAACTTCGATGCTGACCGGGATGCTTTGAACATCGAAACGGCCATCAAGACCAAAGGTAGGCATTTGTAGTTGTCTCTTCATCCTGCCTCAAATCTCCATACATTGGGCATTCACAATTGTCTTACTGGAGCAGATTCAACCCTACCTTACCCCACACCTGCTTGTTTTCACCCCTCCCTCCTTTTCCGCCTCTTCCCTCCTCAGTTTGGAGAGAAGAAGATCTAAAACATGAGAACATAGTTTAACCAAATAGCATAGCAACATGGAAATCGGCCCAGGCTGAGAGCAGCCAGGACCTGGTCCCCGGGGTGTGCGCTTGGAGCCCCGCCCTTCCCTCTGAGGCTGCAGTGCCTCTCCTGTCAAGGAAGAAGTTGGTCATGGTGATCCCTAAGGGCCTTTCTTTTTGTCCTGATTCCCCTTGAATTTCATTATGTTTGTTGACAAAATGCTGGGGAAATTTTACTGCTTTGCTCTTAGATTGATCTAATGAGAGAAAAATTCAGACTCTTTTTTTTGTGTGACTCTACAAGTCTCACCACTCCTCAGGCCTGGAGCTGGAATTGGAAGAATTGTTGGAATGAGTATGTTTCCTTGAGTTTCAGGATGAGTAAGAGGACCAGGAGGCTAAAGCCTCCCTATCTAACTGCCTCAGATAAAACCCTGGATTGGATAGAATTGAGCAAGAGCGTGTTCAAGTCATCACGCTGTTCTCTGTGTCCACGAGAGTAAATGTTCCGACTTTGGGGCTCATGTTAATGAAGCACGTATCTTCGGGGTTTCCCCATCCCCGGAATCCCGGGAACCATGGTGATCACTGTGGTGATGCTGTGATTTCACCACTCGTTTCCCCTTCTGGACTTCCCCTTCACTGTGAGGATCCTTTACGTGGTTTTAACACGGGGTGGGGAACATCCAGTCCAAGGCTCATATAAGGCTTGCAAAATCATTTGGTCTGGCCCTTCCAATGCATTCATTACATGTGTGACCAATTGTAGCAGGTTAATGTTTAAGTTGATAATTTTTTATGGCTCAAGAATGACGTTATAAATACCCAAATGGCTCTTGGCCGATGAAAGGTTCCCCACCCCTGTTAACAGGACCTAGGGCGTTGTTTCATCTGCCTAAGAGCAGCCTTGCGTTCCAGGGGGACGCTGTGGGCACTTCCCAGAATGGCTGCCTGGATCACGGAAGGGAGAATAAGGAAGCGTCTGGATTTGACCTTTAAAAAGTCTTCTTTTTTTGGTGTTTGTAAATGACCGTGCTTGTCAAAGGCCAGGTTGGGAAGTCAGGAAGTCACTAATCAGAAAATAAACTAAAATCTGCAGGGCTTATCTCAGTACAGTCAGTACGACTCAGTGGAGTGGAGTGGAAGAGAGTGTGAGATCATGGGTTCAGATCTCGGCTCTGCCACTAATTCACTAGCTATGTGACTGGAAAATTACTTCCTTAAGCCTCAGTTTTTTTACTAGTTAGTAGGACTCATCAAAGCTCCCACCTCACAAGGCTATTGTGAAGTACCACTTAGCATCTTTGCTTAGTGCCGGGCGTTTTCACATTGCTCAAAATAGTTTCCCTTAACACACACACACACACACACACACACACACTCACACACACTCACACACTCCACTTTCCTAAAACTCAGCCTGTCTCGTTAGTATTTGGGTGTGTCTACATTCCTGGGGCTTCCCGTCATGCCATCGTGGGAACACACTCCAGGTTCAACAGTTAAACTCATCTGACGAAGATGGTGTCTTTTACCAGCTGGAGACAAAGACGGCTTTTATCCCTGCGTGAGAAAGCTTTTAGCGCTCTGGAATGTTAAGATTGCGCAAGGGAGCTCTGGTAATGGCTGAAACTCCCATGGCAATAAAAATACCTTCAGGCCCTTTCTAAGTCAGTAGAAAAAGACTGTAGTTTCTAAGCAGAAACGTCCGCAAGGCTGAGACTTGGATTCCTGCTTTCTCTTTGGTCACAAGCAGCTGACATCATCATTATCCCAGTTACAGCTATTTATTGAGTTTATTGATGCTCCTTTTATGGGCACGCATTGCACCAAGCACTTTCGGAACTCTCATCGTAGGTGGACTTCAGATTCACCCTCTGATGTAGTGCGTCGGGGACATTGAGGATTAACATGCTCTGGGTCTCTCGGCCTTGGTTCAGATGGGTTTGAACAGAGTTCTGGCCAGCCCCAGGCTGTGGCCTGAGCATCCCGACGCAACACCAACCTGCCAGCACTGGACTCTTTGCTGAGGAAATGTCAGCCACAGAAGACGGGATTCTATTGTTACCAGACTCCTGTCGTGTTTGTGGGCCTGCTTTAGGTTCCTCTATTCTTCTCTTTCAGACTTAAAGCCTAATGAGTTCTTTTAGGAACTTTTTTTTTTTTGGTGCCTAATGATTTTACAGTGTAATTAAATTTTCTTGAGTTGTCAGTTGGTCCTTTAAAATAATTTCTGGATTGTCAGTATGTTTAAAATCTTAAATCCATCTAGGCAACTATTGAGAAGGAAGACTATGATATGCATATAGAGCTCAGTGTACCAATCATGTGAGTGTCAGTATTGGTTACGATAGTGAAAAACCCAGCTAGCTGCTAGCTGGGGAGTGACTTAGTAAATGGTGGTAACTCACGCTACATGACATAGAATGTCTAGAATATTACAGAGACCGGAAAATAAAGTTTCTGAACAATTTTTAACATTTTTATTTGATGTAGTTCACATGCCATATAACTCGCCTATGTGAAATGTACAATTCACTATTTTTTCGTGTATTCATGGATTTGTACAGTCATCACCATAGTTTTCCAACACTCATTTTAATATGTATTCACCATAACTGTGACAGTTGCATTAAAAAAGGACAAAAGAGAGTATGTACAGTATGATTACACCACTACTTTTTTATGTCAAAAAGGAAAAAAGGCATTATTAACTGATATATGTTGTTATGGGTAATTGAACCTTTTCCTTACTTGTGCTTTCAATATATTTTGTATTTTTAAAATTGTCTATGATGACATATTTACCGTCATAATGGAAGGCAATACATTTAATTACGAGCTAAAATGAAGTTATTCTTCAGGAGGGTAAAATCCCTTTTGTTCCTTTTCCTTCCCTTTGATATTTTTAGATAACTAACACCACTTAACGAATGAGCTAATTAAGATATTAACTCTCCCTTTTAGAATGCCTTCTCCCTTCAGTGTAATTAAGAAGCTGTGCCACACCTTGCCCCCACTCCCTCCTCAAAGGCTTTATGGGGAAGACAGCATGCTAAGTAATTGGTGTTTCCTTGACATGAAACGAAGGGTAAACCTCAAATGCTGATACAAACAAAAGCCAGAGGACCTTGAAAAGGAAAGATGACTATGAGGGCCTTCTCTCCTAGAAAGGGTGCCCCAAGTGTGTGTGCACCCGTTTGCGCCAAGTGCAGAGCATGCTGGGAGGAGCCTGCTCCATCTGACACAAAGTCTACTTCCTTGTTGTGTGAGCAGTCACCTGTGGCGGAGGGTTAATCAGTTGCTGTTAAACACAAGGACTGCAAACACTGAGCAGGCCTGGAGTGGGGAGGATGACCAGGAGGAGTCGGCCTGGGTGAGATCTGTGGGCTCGCACGGCCCGGACTGGTCAGAAGGTCCCAAAGCAGCTCTTCCCCCTCTGTCCCCCTCCACCTTCCTCATCTCTCGCCGGGCCTGGTGTGGCGTCTGCCCTTTCAATGGGCCTCCTTGCCTCACCCGTTGCAGATTTGTTCCTGTCTTCATTTCTAGGTTGCTCGGTGCCCCAAACAGAGCCTTTGCTCTGATAGGAGCGAGCCACCCCCTTCTAGAGCAGCGATTGTCAACCTTTCTCAACTCGTGGCACACATGAAGTAATGACTACAACTCTGCAGCACGCCACAAATACATTTTTGCAAATCTGACTTTAAAGTATAATTTTGATTCACTCACACTGGACAGCTATTGTCACTTTCTTATTTGACCATCTAAGGGAAAAGAGGTCAATGTCCCTGACTAAATAGTCAGGTTTTGCATGTTTTAAAAATCCTTGTGGCACACCAGCGTGCCTCGGCACCCAAATTAAAAACCGCTGTTCTAGAGGGAGCATGAGCCCACTCCTGACAGCCAGCTGGCTCCCCCTCACCCCTCAGCCCCAGCCGACACACAGCCTCTTTCCCAAGCTGTCTTTGAGGAGGAGGCAGAATCCATCATTTCTTGGTCTTTCTCATAATATTTTCTATGCTCATTCATAGCTCTTGTCACATTGTGCTGTCATTACTTACATATGGATTTATCTCTCCCACCAGAATGTCAACTCCTTGAGGGCAAGGACTTTATTTCACTAATTGTATTTAATCTTATTTACACAGCCCTCGGGACTGTGTGAGAAGGTATACATTTCATCCAAATAGTCTAGTGCACACAGACACAGAGCACATAGTGAGTGCAGGGAGTGGGGCACATGGCTGGCAGGTAGGTAGCAAAGAACAGTTTCAGAATCGGGACAGCATCCGACGAGGGTACCAGTCCCCTAGTGAGCTTTGATCTGTTTTCACAAAGTGAATTTAATTTAGCTCACTCTCCTAAACCTGCTTTGTTTCTAGTTTGACCGGGTCTCAGTAGTTCTTGGGTATGTTACCTACACCCACTGCACGGTTACTTGGTGTTATGCTCTGGCTTGAGGTAGACTGTACAATTACTTACCTTAATTTAATGTCTAGTTAGAAACTGAATAAAGCTGTGCATCAGTAGTAATATTGCTTAATTAACAAGAGGTTTTGGAGACTTAAATCTGTAGGAGTCTCCTGGTCTAGATTGGCCTTGGGTTAAATATATACTGTGGCGTGTACAACACAGCTGTGAATGGTTTACCATATGGGTCCAAATAACTAGAAAGGAAAGTCAGCTAAATGAGAAAAGGATGAATCTAGACTACATCAAATAGATTGTAATTAGAGGCAGCACAACCCCGGAGTTAGTGTAAGTGCCAATAAACTGGTACAGCTTGGGTCTCTCTCTCTCTGGAAGGGGGGTAATGAGTTGCCCTGTTA